TGGCTCTCATATTTTCTAATTGATAGACATCAAATGGGTTCTGCTTGGGCTGACTGATTTTTGGAGGGTGAATTTGTTCCTTCATAATGCTCGTCAAAGAAAGCTAGCAGGAACTACAGCTCTTCCATTCTTCCATTACAATAGACTTTATTCGGGGAGTCTGATTGCCTTGTCACCTGCCATAATCTTACAGAATTCTGATTCTGAATGGATAGGATAGCTGAAGAAGCAGCGATTGGCGTTGAAGAGAGAGCAAACTGGTTCTGCAATTTTCAGAATGGAATTGAGCCTTTCAGTGATACTCTTGTCAGCTGCAACACTTGTAATTGTCTGGGAGGTTACTATTATTTTTCTTTTTTTTTTTTTTCCTTTTTTTGGAGAGGTTTTTGCTATAGGGCCTGTGCACTCGCCAGGAAGACAGAGAGAGACAGAGATACAGAAAGTGAGAAATTACCAATTACCCCCGAGGGGGAATGGCCATGCCACAATCCCTTCTCCTCCATTCTCCTCTTGAGATCTTCGGCACACACACTCATGTGCCTGGTGTGAGTTTAAGCCACAGGTCCAGGACTCGAGCCGCGGTCGACTGCATGGGATTCCAGCAACATAGCCATTACACTAACTGCTGGTCCTTCTTTCTTTCAAGTGATGTTTCTTAAGTGATATTTTGGTCAGACTGATAGGTCTTTCTTATAGACTGTGTGTGGGTGTGTGGTCACGTGCGTGTGTGTGCATGTGTGCATATAAGAGAGTTTGAATACCTCTAAAAATCTGAAAACCTAGACATCTTACTCAAGATTTTATTAGACTTACCTTTTCCTTTTTGCCATTTTGACAGCAAGCATTTTTGCTTTCTTTTTTTCCTTACTGCTTTTTTTTTTTTTTTTTCAGGAAGACAGTGTCAAGAATAGGTCAAATGGCAGGAAAGAGTAGAGAAAATATCTGAATTTGTAATAGAGCAGCAAATGTACTCAACAGAATAGTACAATTCAGATGTATAGGAAAAGTGGATCTTTCATCTATTTAGGTAAAATGCTATCCTCTGGTAGTCTTCAAAGTAATGATTTACTCTACCTCCTTTGATACATACAGATGGTGCTATAAATAGTCCTTTTAGGCCAGTGATTACCAATGGGCATATCACTCTTCCTAGGGGAATAGTTTGGAAATAGGTGGGAACACTTGAGATTGGTAATGAGAGTTTGCAATGAAAACCAATCAAAGGGGGTCATAGATGCTACATATTCTTCAATTTTTTAGATAGCCCCAAACAATGATAAATTGTCCCATGTCCCAACAGACATTAAGGTGTGTAAAAAAGCATTTTCATTTATCTGCTCCTACACTCAAAACTCTATCTCACATATAAGCATAAGGCATCTCTTATGTGTACCTTGTTATTCAGCAATGCAAACACTACAGATTCAGAGAAAGAGGTATTTTACTTTGTTCTAAACTTGGCCAAGAGTTGTTTGCTATCTTGTAAAGTCACACCACTGTGAGCAATACTCCTGTGAATTCTAAAATCTCTAATACAATATGGCAGTATTATTTGTACCTGTTTCTATTCACCATCCAATTTCTTCATTTTATCTCCTAGTATATCCTGCCCAAGTATTTACACATTAAAATATATAATATTGTATTATAAATTGTGTGGCTTATATTTCTCCTTTATATCACAGTTAAAGCATTACATAAATTATATTACCATTCTTTTGACAGTATGTATGTAAATTAGCAGTCAACAAACTTCAGTAAAGAGCTGTAGAGGAAATATTGAAGGCTTTACTGGCCAAATGGTATCAATGGTTGCAATTATTGGATATGTCCTCTATAATGAGAATGCAGCCACAGGCAATATATACCTAAATAGGCCTGACTAAATACCAACAAAACTTTTTTATCGAAACTACATTTGAATATGATATAATTTTCTTTTTCTTTCTTTTTTATTTTTTTATTTTATTTTTTAGAGAGAGAGAGAAAGATTTTTGCTATAGGGTGTGTGCACTTGCCAGAGAGACAGAGAATGAGAAATCACCCCCCAGGAGGGATGACCATACTACAATCCCTTCTCCTCCAGTCACTTCTCAGAATTTTGGGCATGCACACACACACACACACACACACACACACAGCATGAGTTTTAAGCCACCAGGTCTAGGACTCAAACCGTGGTCAAGTCACAAGATATTATTTTGTCACAAGATATTATTATTTTGTTTGTTCAAACATCTAAATGTGTAAAACTACTCTTAGCATTTAAATGGTTCAGAATTAAGCAATGCACTATATTTGGCTATCAGACACTACTTTTCTAATCTGTGCTCTAGTGTATCATGTTCAAGCATTTACTTATTGAAATATGGCATACAAAAGAAATATGGCATTTATGTGTGTGTGTGTACGCACACACACATATACATATATGTACACATTATACTGGATTATAAATTACATTTCTTCTATTTCTCTTTATATGCTAAAACACTGTGTTGAGTTTTGAAATGTGTGTGTAAATACCATGAACCAAAATTTTTATAAGACAACTTAGTTAACATTTTAATGTAAAACAAAACTTTTGATTGTTGAGTGGATTCTTACTTAGAATAATGAAAAATATGCAGCAGAGTGCAGCTTCTTCAACAGCTGGCTCTGACAATAAAAGGAGAAAGCTGGAGATATGGTTCAATTGTTTAATGATAGGCAACAATCCTCACTGGGCAAAACCTGGTAAATTTTATAAAACTCAAAAGCTTCCTCTCTTTGATAACAAAAACCAGTCCTAGCTTATTTCTGATGCAAAACTGTTAGATGTTCACGGTGCACTGCTTTTGGGCTTGAAGAAATCTGAATCTTTCTAACCTTGGGACATACTTTATGTCCTGCATAGTAGGGCTGAAGTTCAGTTTAGTAAAATACCAAGTTTTGGTATTATACCAGCAGATGGTGTAATGGTTATGTCACTGTACTCCCATGCAGGTGACTATGGTTTAAGTCCCAGACCTGGCAACTTAAAATTTACACCAGGTGTGTGTGTATGCATGCCCAAGATACCAAGAGGAAGCTGGAGGAAGAAGAGAAGGAATTGTGGTGTGGCCATCTCCCTCAGGGGGTGATTCCTCACTTTCTATCTCTCTGTCTCACTCTCTCTCTGTCTGGTGAGTGCACATGCCCTATAGCAAAAATCTCTCTCTTGAAAAAAATAAGTTTGGGTTTGTAGGTTGTCTTGTCTATGCATTTTATTTAATTATAGTCAAATTGAGCATTACAAAATGTGTTTCCAAAAAGTGTCATTAGGATTGAGTACATTAGGTACTATCTGACCTCACAGATTTCTAAGTCTTTAGGATTCCTTTTATGTTCCTATGAGTGCTACTGAAATACACTTGCTGAACTCTGCAGTCATATCTTAATCTGTTTTCTTGACTTGATCATACCTAAAGGCCTCTTGGCTAACTTCAGATCTCCTTGACTTTCCTTGGTGCTAACAAATACTCAAGAGTCTCTATTGAGCCTTCTACTTGTATATCTGGCTGGACAGACGCTTTCCTGGCTCTGCTTTGAGGTCACTTTCCCCTTTACCTGCTGCCCCAGAGCAGATGCACTGTCTTTCAACACATCTGCCTTCAGGTTCTATCTCAGGGGCTGCAGAAATATCTGAACCTCATCCAGGCCACGTGGGATGTCAGAATACTAGGAAATGCAACGTGCATTGATACATCCATGCCCTTGATTTGTGCACAGCAACTTGAGAGATGACACACTTCCAGATCCTTAAGTAGGTGCTTTGTCCACTTCTATTTGTTTTAAAGTCCCCTATGCCTTCAATTCCAGGGTAGGCTTGACTTCTTTTTTATCCATCCTAGTTCATAAATACCCCTTAAACCACTGAGATACACACTGTAAGGGTCTGAATGTCAGAGGCAGAAAAGTATCTTCTCTGTGCTACAAAACACTTAGAGCTCAGACATACTAGCCCTTGTGGAAGCTCAAGGAACTTAGCAAATCTTGTCTACACAAAGCCTTGCTCTCAAATCCATTGTCTTGTACTCATTTTCTCTAACCTATAATGGTAATTCTTATATCTGAGTCTTCAAAGAGGGAGAATGGGGGTAAAAAGAAAAAGAGAAAAATAAGATTCAGTGAAGGAAATTCAAGTGAAGGTTTAACATTTGCTGTAACACTTGCCAAATTACAAGTGTGGTTGAATAGACCTTATTTTCCTTTAATGTAACTAAGGACTGAAATATAAATGCAATTTAATTAATAGAGGGATAAATACAAGTTTATGTGTCACCTACACTTTGAAGTATACATGACCCCATAATGGAATAATCTCACTTTCCCCATTAGCTGTCAGAAACCCAAAGATCATTGTGTGGTTATCCAGTAATGACCTCACAGGTCCCTATATATTTCCTAATATCTTGAGTCCTCTAAACCTTCACCATTGTTATCTAGATACTTGTTTTCATTTTCCTAAAAACTGAGGAAAGTTGACTGGTTTTACCCTTTAGTCATCTAGCTTGACCCTCCAGCAAACTTCCAGCTTCTCCAAACACAAAAGTTTTGTGCACCAAAAGAGTTCTTGCCCAACCTGTGAATGGTATTTACCTGCTCTCAACTCCAGCAGACGGTGTGTGTGCATATGTGTGTGTGTGTGTGTGTGTGTGTGTGTGAGTCGGGGGTGGGGGTAGGTGAGGAAGAAACTGACAAGTAGCACAAACTACATAATTATTCTTTCATATCAATCGAAATATCTAAGTATGCCTTATAAAAGATCTCTGACAATATATTTACATGTTAATGATCTACTTGAAAAAATAAAATAAAATAAATTAATGGGAGGAGGGTTGCTAGTATAGTATGACTTTGGGGTAGAAAAGGATTGTTTCATGGATATTCACTATTCACTCTTCTTACTTGGACAGCCAAGTAGGACATAGCACTTCTGTCCTACCATCTTAGTATCTTCTCTTTTGCTTTTCTTTTAGCTCAACAGAATTCACCAAAAATCCATGAAGGCTGGTGGGCGTACAAGGAGGTGGTCCAGGGAAGCTTTGTTCCAGGTAAATACACATTTATTCTCTTTATTTGATTTATTTTTAAAAATAATTTGAATGAACATTACTGTTATTTACAGAATTTTACATTTTCTACACGGTATAAAATATATTACAAAAGCCAGTAATGTCTAACTTATGTCAAATGAATATTCCACCAAGAGAAAGTTTGAGAGTAGCAACCTAACCCAGAACACATTTTACCCCTCTAAGCCTACAACCCCAATCTTTTCATCAACAGAAGGTTATGTCAAGGAGAAAAGTATAGACGATTGAGAGCTGAAGCTCTGTCTCTTGGCATCTGGTTAAATAAGGAAGAGATATGTCTTAATGTTAATGAAACAGGAACCATGGAAAGGCTGACCGTGGCAGTGAAGTTTGCAGGGATGCATGCTATCACTCACATTACCCAGTAACACCCATGGTCATGGCTTAGATTGAATCAACCACCAGCTGAAAATGATACACAAAGCAGATGCTGTTGGCATGGGTGCAGAGGATCGAGAACCAAAGACAACTTAGAGCCAGAAACATATTGTGACTTTAGAAGTAAGGGAACCAGCAGTTAGCGTAATGGCTATGTCGCTGGACTCCCACGTAGTCAACCGTGGTTCGCGTCCCGGACCCGGTGGCTTAAAACTCACGCTGGGCACATGTGCGTGCGTGCTCAAGATCCCAAGAGGAGAATGGAGGAGAAGGGATTGCGGCATGACCATCCCCCCTGGGGGGTGATTTCTCGCTTTCTGTCTCTATGTCTCTCTCTGTCTGTCTGGCGAGCGCATGCACGCTATAGCGAGAGAAAAAAAAAACTCTCAAAAAAAAAAAAAAAGAAGAAAGACAGAGCCTTTGTCCTCTTTC